TGCTGTGGTTGTCAGACTGTCAAAATCTCCTTAAGAAGGCCAAACTCTCTCAGTATAAACGGCTCTGGTTTGTGGCTTAGGCCTTCTTAGAACTGAGCGTCTCCCAAGACAGTGCATTGCTTCACGGTATGAGTGACGTCAATTTCTCGCCAATAAAAAAAGCATTTCCCATTAGTGAAATCATAGGGTATTCGAGCCTATTTACTATTCGAGGGTTTCGGAGGACCAGCCGAATTCGCGCCCAATTTTGTATTCAAACGTTTTCGAAGTCTTCGGGGTGTCCGCGGCTTCCTTAAACACCCGCACACTGAACATGGGTATAATTCCGCCATCTTTTAGCAATTTCGCATCAGTCAAAGGTTTTCAAGGTCTTTGAGGGTTCGTAGGTTTAATGTTGGGACCCCAAAACACATACACCGAGGAAGACGAAATTTCAATAGATTCTCTCTAAATCCCTTTTCTACTAACATCGGGGAGCGAGAGGAAGGAGGAAGGGGGGGGGTATGACATTATTTAAAGGTTTTCAAAGGTCTTTTAGGGCTATTTAAGACGGTTGGGATACATAAAACAGAAAAGAGTCAAAGTACAGGCTAGCTGGTGGAAGTCAACCATTTCGTCGTTTACCCTGAGACTGGTTTTTTTTTTTTTTGAAGAGCGGAAGTAACAGAAAAAAAAAAATAATATATAATAAAAATAATATAATATATAATATAATAAAATAATATAATATAATATATAATATAATAAAATAATATAAAAAATAATAAAAATAAAATATATAAAATATATAATAATTGAGACCTGTCTGTTTTTTCTGTTACTTCTGCTCTTCAAAAAAAAAAAAAAAAAAACAGTCTCAGGGTAAACGACGAAATGGTTGACATAAAACAGGTGGTCTAAAAGTTATGCAGAGTATTGCCATTCTTCGGCAATTTCGTATTCGAACCTTTCCCAAGATCTGTGGGAACTACCCGCAATGTAGCAGGTGTTTGGAAGAAAACAAAACCGTCCTTTTCTCACAGCAAAAAATAAACTGCGCATTGCCGTACTTTAAGAGTCCTTTATTTTTTCTTGCTTTTTCCGAGGTGATTTTTTAGGGGTTGTTTTACGACAGTTGATATAATAATAATAATAAAAAAAGCGTAGATGCTGAGGTTTTCAGTGGTCCATTTAAGCTCGCACGTAAACCAAAGTTTCAGAGCGAACTCTTACCTAAAGGACCTTTTCCACATACCGACGGCACCAGGCGGTGGCTGCACGAACTAAAAAACGAGGAGTGACCTGCGCTACCAATCGATAATGGGAGCTACGCTACCAGTTTCTTCGCTCTCTGAGATGCGGCGCGTACCCAACGCGACTTTAAAGAGGGGCATCCGTGGCGTCCACCTAAACGTCGTGTTTTTCTTTCCGTCCACTTTTTTTCTTGTGTAATACAATTATATATATGCTGCAATTACGTGCTCCACTCGCTGATCCACAGCCTCCTTCCGAATTTCCTCGATTTTTCGTGCCGACTTCCGCCGCTTGGCATCGGGCGATAGCGCGTGCGCAGAACGCTTCTCGGAAAAGGTCCATTCAAAGGTCATCGGCCACTTTTTTTTTCTTAAAAACGGAGCCCGCGCACTGCGAATACACACACGGAGGTAAATGGAGAACGCTACCGGGAACGTGCCCCCCCTTTTTCCTCGTTGAAAAATTCCAAAAAACCAACGCAGACAACTTTTTAATCAGATAAGGGTATAGTTCTGAAACTTTGGCATCCGGGGTCCGGAACGCTATGCGGAGCGCAAGTTCGTCTGCTTCTTGCACGGGGGGTTGCGATGACGTCAAAACGCTGATCTCTCATTGGCCGATTGAAAAGAAAAAAAAAATGAAATAGTGGGAAGATTTGCATATCTAGCATTTATGTCTAACCACTATCCTTCCAACCAAAGCCAATCAGAACGCGGCGTCGTTCTGACGTCACCGGAACCCCCTGTGCAAAAAGCAGACGACTTGCTCTCCGAATAGCGCTACATTTGGGTGAAGACTGAGCGTATACGACGTAGTTTATTTTTGCAGAAAGAAAAAAAAATACACGCGTACGGTTCTGTTTTCTCGCAAGGACCCGTTACATATTCTAATACATCGCACGAAAGAGAGTTTACAGACACTGTCGGAGGCGTGTTTGTTTCTTGTATGGCGGTCCTCTTACATTGGTCATACAAGAACTGTCAGCGGACAGGTTCGGAGTATGCATTCGTATGAACTTCGTATACTTCGAACATTCGTGTATTTCGAACATTCTTGAAGCGCGTCCGCTGATAAGCTCATCGTGCCTTCAGATAACTCTCAGTGTATTTTGTATGGTGTATACAAACTTATTTTTTTTTTTTTTATAATATTGCGTTTGAATGGTTTTTAAGGTCCTCCCGAAGGTCTACTATAGGGTCTGTGCAAACACCCACGTACGTTGGGCATTCCCAAGTTTCGTCCAAACTTAAAAGCCTACGAAGCGGCGGAAACGCCGTGGCTCGCAAGGTAAAACAGAAGCCACTCCACGCGCACGATAACGTAATATATCCCGCGCGCAAATTGCATTACCGGAGTGAGACACTCGCATACGGGTCGTATACACGCGGGAAATTTGAAACGGAACCCCAAAGAAGAAGCAAAAACTTCCCCTGCAACAAGAACGTGGAAGAAGAGATCCCAAATCGGGTCTTTTCCAAGGAACGGAAACGTGCACTTTGGACATGGGGTGAAAGTGGGATACCTTAGGCCTTGCATAACGGCAAACATTACAAAAACCCCGTTTTTTTTTGTTTTTGTTTTTTAAGCGAGTACGTTTGGTGCGGCCGAAAAAGTTCCCGGAGCATTTCTCCGACATTTAATTTTTCCCCCTTCTCAATAAGTGATTTCCGTTCGGTACGCGTTTTCTGGTGCGCTCTCTCATTTTTAAAATGGCATTGCGACAGATTTTTTTTTTTTATCTGCCTACATTTACTTTTGGTAATTATATTGGAGTAACTAAATTGCATTAATTACGTTTACGAGCACACTACACGTTTAAGCTTGTTTCAGTTTAATTGACCTACATATGAATACTCGCGGAATAGGCACGCGTTTTTTTACATATATAAATAAAATACAATTCTATTTACATTATTTACATCGCATCGATGTGAAACTAATAGTTGAACATGAAGTTAGCGACGCAGCAATAATGTGCTCGACAATCATATATTTTTACTCATATTAACCCTAATATATATATATATATATATATATATATATATATATATATATATATATATATATATATATATATATATATATATATATATATATATATACACACACACAACGAAGGTTGCGGGTTCAATCCCCGCTCCTGGCCCAATTTTTCGCCAGCTCTCTTTCCCTTTCCCTAACTTTAATGCAATAAATTCAATAATCACCTTTTCCCCTCTTCGTTCACAATATTACTACGGCTGCACTTGTCAATCTTCACTCATTCCCATTATATATACAGATATATATATATATACTTTTAACTATAGTCACAGATAGGGTAAGAACGGCAGGGTGAGAACTGCCGTTCTAACTCTGCCAGTGGCTATATGTAGGTCACGCTTTGCCGTTTATCCCGAAGGCTTGAGGGTGGAGTACTACGACTCATGGATATATGGATGGACACGGATGAACCCTTTGATTCGGGTGCCGGTGTGCGCCACCTAGCCATGGTGTCTTTAATTTATACCGAGCGGTGAAGTCAGGACAGTGAAAATGGGTACGACGATGATCTAGCCCGCAGCAAAATCGAGCAGCGCCTAGCGGATAGAACGCGAAGCTATGAAAGGGTGTAGAGATACTCCTATAACCTATTCGTCCTCACCGGAGGAGGTAAAAAATAGTTAAAGTCACTATTTTTTAAATAAGATTTCCTTTGGCTGTATTATCCCAACGCTCAAACTGATAAAAAGAAAAAAAAAATGGTTTGAAATAATAAAACTTTTTTATATGTAAGCTTAGATTTTATATTTGAACATAACCATTTTACGGAAATGTAAGCTTGTAATAGCCTTCACGTCAAACAATTCTACGCCGTAGGAATACAACAGAATGTACAAATAACTTATTCTGCTCACCCGAAATTGTTTTTACCTGGCCCCACCCACAGCATTTTAATAGAAAATGCTCGAAATTAGGCAGACCGTACGTAGAAATTAATATTACAAAGCCATAGCTACAGCTAGCCTATGTGCCCTTGCTGTTTAGTTAAAATTTAGTTAGAATGAAAAGCAATTAGAACAATCAGTAAATATTATTTGCCACCCCGCCCGACGGAGCAATGAGAAATGACATCATATCACCTTATCATAGCTTCACTTGAAATGGTGATGAGTTAGAGTTCCTCTTTTACTGCCAAATTCTATTTCTCGAGGGGGAAAAAAATAAAGAAAAATGTAGCGTCAACCGAGCGCAGTTTTCTCGCCCACAAAAAAAGAATGCTTCGCACGCACACACAAAAAGAAAAGCACAGCTTCCTCCAGTATCTTTGGGGAAATTTGCACATCCGTTCAACGCAAGTTCCTTCGATCGTATCAAAAAGAAACGAAGCCGAAAGCGAAATGAAGACTTAACCCACTTCTTTTTTTCGGAGCGCCAGCATCTCCCAACGCGCAAGCTCCCATTCATCTTTAGCCATGGCATCACCTAAAAACGTACAAAAAACAGCCAGGCCGCGCGAATGATTCAGAGGAGTTGCATTTTATCTCTCGCGGTACGCTACCTTTGCGCAATCTCTTGCACGTCTAAAGCACTCTGGGTACTCGATTGAGTACGTCCTATGACTTCGTTCCAACTTTGCAACACCCCAAAAGGGATTTTGGAGCGTTTTGCGGGACATACGCCCAGATGGCTCTTGGACAGCCCGATCAGTTTCGAGGAGAGAGCGGCAAGGGAAACGAAAAAGGCCCCGGCGAGCGTGAAAAGCGTGCCGGTCGGTGGCGAATTACCGGTTTCGACGTCGTCCATGGTTAATCCGCCGCTTGGAAGCGATCCCGGCGCCGAAATCCGACCGAAAAAGGTTATCCACTGGATAGCATCCTCGCGCGAACCCGCCGCACCATGGCAATCATCTTCTCTCGCGAGCCGTCCGAAGTCGGCGGATGTTTGCTCAACCGGAAGTCGGGGAGGGGACGCGGCCGCTGCTGGCGCCGCCTGGGGACTCGGTTGTGGCGGCTCGGATCGCTCGGATAATGAAACCGAAACCGAACAAAAAAAAAAGCGCGAGACCTGACGAGAGTGGAAGCTGTGCGAATTTTGACACGGTGATATGAAATCTCGTACATTTTAATATCGACGAAATAAATTAAAAAATATATTGTTCGCTTTTCCTTTTTTTCAGCTTTCTCTTTAGTTGATTTTTTTTTTTTTTTTTTTTAATTTTCGCAGTGTCTGCGTCGACCCGGTCTACGCAACGCCCAGCGTTGGGTAGACCCAGAATTCTGATTGGCTATTAAGAAAAAGTCACGTGTCTATATAAATTGAGTGAATTATTTTGTTAAGGTTATTTATATAAATTTTAAATGAGTAGAAATGAAATTATATTAGATATATGCAATGCATTCTGAGATAATTATTATGTGTAATGTCACGTGTTACATTTGATGAGGGGCGGGAGAATCCCTTCGGTTTCCCGCGTTTTGACCGTTGTTTACTTTCTTCGGCTCCTTGTGTTCCTGCAACCTTCGCAAGTCCACCTCCATTTGTCGTGAACCCTCGTTTCTGAGCGTTGATCTTCCCTTCTTGGTGTCTTGTTGATTTTTTTTCACGTATTTATTTCTTTCGCGAGATTCCGATTGCCTTTGTATTTAGCCCAAAACTCGGGTGTACCACGTGCTTTGATATCTGGGGGTTCCGTGACTGGGACAACTGGGGTTTCTTGTGGAAAGACGTTCGGAATTTTCCTATTGAAACCAGACGTGGCTGTCGAGATTCAGTCGATTCGTTCTTTAGCGGCGATTAAGCGTCTGTTCGTCATGACTGCTGGATTGACGGTCATCCTCCCGAGGCAAAGCAGCCCGCGGTGGACGTGCCGAGGTTCTGCGGGAAAGAACAAGGATGCCCGGGAGACGAACACTTTCTGCAGGAGCCACAAGGCAGGCCATGGTTTCATCGAACAGCCGGGAGTGGAGCGGGATGCTGAAGGATAGCGGCGCTCATTTCAGTGAGGTCAGTCGATATGGTGAAGTTTATTTCTTCATCTGTCATTTGATTACTGCAGCACACCACCCTCGTTCTGAAAATAAGGATGCAGGGGTAAATGTTTGGCAAGCAGAGGCAGTTTGTGTGCTATATAGATCAGCATGAAATATTTGCAGTGGTAGGCTCATAGGTTTAACCTCTGGTCCAGTTAAGACCATAACATGCTCTGCATGCTGACGTTGTTATTATATCTTTCTTATGTTGACATCTATTATGCTTAACATACTCTTTGTTGCATCCCTACAAAAGCCCCAACAGAAGGGTGGGCCAGGTAATGGGCGAAGTCACTTTCCCCAAGCCCTTAATCTAATGACTAACAAGCCTACCTTCACAATTTTGAGCTTGAACCACAGTTTGCTCTCGCAACAGTGGCCACGGGGCAACCGTTGCCAACTGCACCACCTTAAAGCCCCTTTACGTTTCAAAAGTAGCGCAAGGTGCGCCGATGCACAAGGTACGTGCTACGTGCAGCCCTTGGGAAGATCACGGCAGCACAGCGCAGCACTGAGCTAAATTTCAGACGCCGTGTTCTTCCTAGAAGGTGGTGCACGGCGCAAGTCTCGAGCATTTCCACAAGAATGAATGGTGCCGCTTTTCCCAGGATAGAGGGGCTTTACACCACCTACGAGCCATCGGAGCCAATCCAAGGCCTCGTGAGTGTTAAGGCTGATCCACACATACAGCGGAGCGCTCAGTTAGCGCTTCATGAGCACTGGAAGCAGCGCTCGGTTGTCGCTTTAGCAACGCACTGTAAGCGCGCTCCTTGTGCCATGCTTGCGGCTGCGAAACAGTGCATGCACGGCGATTCCATTGTTATTTCTTCTTTGGCACTGAAAGAAGAGGAAGTAAAAGAGCCGCCTTTCAAGCAAAGGGTCGGGCAGACGATTCAGAGTCATGGACTCTGAGCGACTAATTGATTGGGTACGTCCTTATCACTTTCTATTCGACATACGTGATCCTGGTTTCAAAGACGGGCAATTAAAAAATAATCACCTTCGGAAGAGCTCTGTGTCTCGGTCCCTCGGCCTGGGAACGAGGTTCACCGGATACCCGTCGATATCTCGGTGGTGAAAGATTTCGCGCACTCAGAAGGCTCTTCTGGGCGTTAAGTCGTCCACACACATATGCACTAATTTTGTATGTAAGGGCATTTGTCGCGTTTCTATTTCAGCATCCCGCATGTCCGCCATGGTACGTACTGTTGATGCACACCCAACCACAGGAACCTGAACATCAGTACACATGCTAATCTGCAGCAATAACGGTCGTGCAAGGAGCGCTACTAAAACGCTGATTGCACGCTATATTAGAACTAAGTCACGCGCAAGGAAGCACCACATGAGCGCTCTTTGGAGCGCTCACATAGCGGTAACTTAACGCTCCGCTGTATGTGTGACCAGGCCTTTACTTGACCTTGAAGAGGGTGACATGCGTAGAGCATATTACGTGCTACGTTCGCAGAGCTGGGTTGACTGAGATGGCTCGGAGCATCCGCTGCGGTGGGACGTGATGTGAAACAGTATGTAGACCTGTTGCAAAAATACACATTGATGCTATAGTTGTTGAAATAGGGGAAGTACTCTCACTGTCAGTGGACGATTTTGCAAATGTGGGTGCTTCCAGTAAGCACTGTAGAGAATGGACCCTTTTCCTCTCTTCCGGTTCGAGAGTACAAAATGCATGTGTTGCTAGGCTAGGTGGAAACAAGGCTGCCATTTTGCTTGAAGCAAGGGCACTGTGCGATTCCCAGTGGCGATGCCAAAGCGCTGTGTTGCATTCAGATGACGGGATCGGCACCGGCCAAGGGAGGGGACGAGTTTTTTTTTCGGTTTCCTTCCGAGAAATTGAATCTTGATGGAAGAGCGGCGTGAATTTGCACGGTTATGATGTACTAGATTCTAGTACACCATAGCACGGTGAAGGGGATTGACTTGTCAGGCCCTACAAAGGCTTGGGAGGCAAATGAGCGTACCCGACTACTGTAAACAACTTAATTTTTCACAAATTTCTTGACTTAAAAATTGCTGCGAAAAACGCATCCCACCAATATATGGTAAAGAGTATATAGCTCACCACTCCTCGCAAAATTTTCTGCGCATGAAATATTCTCCAAATTTGCGAAATATTGTGGCCGCAAAAATAAAGTTCACAGTATGTGTGGCTAATTAGTCGTGGGTTAATAACATTAATGGCACTTTAGAAAAGCACTTCAGAAAGTTGCACGATTGTTACAATGAGGCTTTATTAGACAAGAAAAGCATAGCTATAGACCCTTTCAGGCAACATTTCATGGGCGCCGGCATCTTGATGTCACGTGACCCTGCCGCCATAGCCGACCTTCAGCTTCTCGCCGTTCCCCCGCGTTGTGTGCTGCACAGGCCACTACCGGAGCTTTGCTTTCGTGTTCTTTCACATTCCGCGCTGAAATTGTGTGTCTTTTCGACGTTGAAATTGTGTCTTTTTAATATTTCGGGCTTTTGTTTAATCATTTGATATCTATATTTCAACACAGCTCTTGTATTTTCGTATTTATGAAATGGAATCGGACAGCGAATGGATCGACGATAAAAGATTATGGTTTCAGAGACCATATAAGTTCATCCCGTTCTAGCGTTTTTCTCGCTAATAAAGGGCAGTCTATACCATTGCGACATATGCAAATTTCAACTGACGCAGTAAGGCTATCCAGTCGTGCTTCTCGCTGCATGTGCACACTTGTTTCCGTAAAGCCGACCCGCATGTAAGCGATTTAGCTTGCGACGAGACGACAAGGCACGCGGGGAGCGACGGAGATTACTTACTGTCACTTGTCGTGTTACTCGGTTTTTGGGTTTCTAGAAAACGCCGCTCACCGTCCTGGTCGCTTGCTCCGTCATATTTATGTGGTTTGCCTCGTCACGCGACTGACCCAGCGACAGCGAAGCGGGTCACCGTCACTGTTCTCGTTGCTCGCCGAATCACTTGCATACAGTTTATACTTAAAATCAAGGCGCCAATGGTTCAACGTTGTGTGCTTGTAAATTAATTGAGTATAAACCACATGTAAGCGCTTTGGCGAGCAACGGCAACCCGCTTCGCTGTCGCTCGGTCAGTCGCACGACGAGGCAAACTGCATGGAAGAGACGGCGAAGCAACCAAGACGGTGAGCGACGTTTTCTAGAAATCCCGAAAACTGAGCGATGCAACGGGCGACAGTGAGAAATCTCCATCGCTCGTCTCGTCGCACGCTAAATCGCTTACATGCAGGTCGGCTTTACGGAAACGAGCGCGCACATGCAGTGAGAAGCACGACTGCGATGGCCTTACTGCGTTAATTGAAATATAAGACTTCTGGAGTGGCGGTCTCCTGCACTCTTCCATGCAACCGGGTGCCACCAAGTTAACAAATCGGCAGCCATCTTGCTCAGGGCAAAAAAAAGAGGCTGCGCTGATAGGGGTGCTAGCAGCATCTGTTGCTTTTGGGGCTGCGTATTACAACGAAAACAAAACAATTATTTTTTTTGTTTTAAAGGACTCTAAAGCCGCTTAATGTTGAATTCTTTTTTCTCGGATATCTTATTGCAAATGATCAACGCCGTGGTAATGAATACGTAGCGTCCCTCTCACAATTTCGGAAATTTGTGCACCTGACCGATCACCAAAACCGGCACTTTGAGAATTTACAGAAATATCAAGCTCGCAAAAATTTTTTATAATACTTGTTTTGCAGATGCATGGCTGTTATAAGCGCACCGTCTCGAGTTTTAGATGAAACTAGCTAAAATACAAAATAAGTGTTTACAGTCACTATGATACCCACTGCTTTCTGCAGGTATGCTGGAAATGAAGGAAACATAAACATAGTTGGTATGCTACCCGGTCGAGGTCTTCTCGCTTGACCGCTTGTGTCAAAGCAGTAATCTTCGAAGTGTGCCGAACAAGGGACGTCAGTATTCTTGCGCAACCAACCATCCCCCCGTCGAACAGCATGCACCCTCGCAGCATGCAAAGTATTGTCTTTAGGAAACAGGCGACGTGCGAACATGTTCAAAGGGCGTCTGACACGGCAAAAAAAAAAAAAAACTTTCTTTTTTTCATGCTAGGCGTTGAAATGGCATGTCAGGACATTACAAAAAAATTGTTTCACTGAAGAGTTGCGTAGTTTTTTTATAAAAATAGAAATAGGAGGCCGAATTCAAAGTTCCCGCCAGTGCACTGTGACGTAACAGCGTACCGCAAGGTGTCGGGGCGGTCAGAAGGGAGGCATCGACCTACGTCACTAAAAGTGGGTTCGCAGGAAGTCACGTGAGTTTCACTCCTCGTGTTCTCCGCGACCGTGCCTAAGACTTTTTTGGGGGGGGAAAATTGGGGGCATTTTTGGGGGGGAGGGGGGGGGGGGGGCAGCTCCATTTTTCCTACAGATTCAGTGTTTTTTGTGTGAATTGGTGAAGTCATAACCAATTTAAACAAAACCACGGAATCTGCAGGAAAACATTAAACCCCGAATTAAAATACCCCCGATTTCGTGAAGAAAAAAAAAACACCGAAAACGCGGAACCCTAACCATAGCCTTTAGTAGGAAGAAACGACAGCAATAGCAACAAGCGTTGAATGAAGTGGGCTCAGCTCAGCCGGAAACGGACTTGCGTCATCAAGATCCGAAATTGGGTTGTGTGTATGTTTATACAGCTTAGAACTTGGTATGCCTCAGAGGGCGACGAGTCTCCCAGCTGTAGATGAGCAATTTAGCGAGTGCAGTACAACCGCTAGCTTGGGGTAACGTGCACCACCCAGTAGTGATACACCAGGCACGTAGCCAGGGGAAAGGGGGCCCATGGGGCCTGACCCCCCCCCCCCCCCCCGATATCTTCCATTTTGCTGGGGCCTCCCCTCCCCCTGATACAGCATTTTGTAATGGACGGCCGCTGACTTTCTTTCATCAGAGTGGAAAGGCTGAAAGTTTTAAATTCGCACCGAACCTGAGCGCAGTGGACGTAGTAACTTAATAAAACTTTTCTTTTATTTGAATATCGCTTTATTATAAAAGGTATAGGCAAATTAAAATTACTAAAACAAGCAAAAAAACACCTCCTTCATGACGTCCTTGGTCGCTTGAGTGGCCGTGAACTAGAGGAGAGGTAGTGAGCTCAGCGAGCGCTCACCGCTGCTGCACTCCGCGTCAACGGCTCGAGAGGGCACCACTAAAGCATGTTCTGGATAGGCTGTATGAAGTGGGTAGCCAGGGTGGCTCGCGTTGCATTTGCTGCGAGATTAAACACTAATTTAGTATGACACTTCATTGGCCACGAACGACAGCAAACACGGGATAAAGATCAGTTCAGAACAGCAGCCACTTCGCGCTGCCATACTGCCAAACCAGCTCCGAAGGCCTTCGGAACCGGTCGGATCCTCGACCGCAGCAGCGCCGGGTACATTCGGGACCTTTCTACGTTCACCGCTATACTCTGTTTCACCTTATGATGTACCGCAAGAAAGGCTACAAACACGAGCTCCTTGCTCTGGGGCACATCTCGGCGGCACAAGCTCTCGTGACTTAATTAAGAGTGGCTGCCAACACTATGAGCTCGCGGTTTTAGAAAGAAGTTTTTGGCGGCTCTGACCAGTATTAAGGCCAGGACCAAACGCGACACATAGCATGCACTTTCAGCACCGCGGGTCGCCTTTGTAGGTAGAGAAGGCGTCCGCGTCGTCCGGTTAAAATGGGACGCACTGATATTTAGTTATTCTCTCCGTGCCCGCTGGCTTGCCCGAACCCCAAGAGATGTGGAAACCGCAAAAAAGGTAGACGCTTAAATATGATTGCAGGGCCCCTTTAATGATACCTGCAATTTTACATAACAGCTAGATGACAGGACAATCAATCTAATGCTTGGCAAAATCCAAAAATACATCTATCTCCCCTACTATCAATGCACTGGCTGCAATCATGAAAGACGTCAATAAGCCGTGTTTTTTTTTATTTTTACATGAGGTAGTTTTATGTTATTTTTGTGTCAACTCCAGTTTGTGCGCCTTTGTGTCCTTTGTGTCTAGTAATGTTATGAACTACTCTGGCATACCACTGCTAAAGGGTCAATTGCAGTGCCAGTTTACCTTTTCATAGTAGAGTGAATATTTATAACAAAAATGAACAGGTTTTCAGTGACATTCCTAATAAAAAAAGATCTACAACAGTGGTCTGTGATTATGATCAAAAATGCCTCGAGCACTATTTTTATGTGAACTAATGTGCTATTTTGTTCAATATTTAATGCTTTCGCTCGGTACGAAAGCATGCAGTTGCCATTCTTAATGTTCATAAGATGACGTTGCCAGCATGATCAACAGATGAGTTTTAACCTGGGTTACAAATGATGCGACGAGTTAAATATTTGTACGAATTTCCTTTCCTTCCACTTCAAAATTAAGGATGACCTATATTCAAATGTTTTTACTGTCAACAATTTTGATTACTTGTTGAATGTTCAAACTAACTTGTAAAGCTCCTTGCTGTCAATTTGCTTTGTTTAGGGGATCATTATCCAAGAGTTCTTGTTTTTAAAAGTAGTAACAAACTCCTTAGTGCACTGAAGTGGTGTATGTCTGTTCCACATGGTCTAAAATTGATGGTTACGGTGCTTGTACTGTGACAATTCTTTTCTCTTGCAGCCCAGCTTGAACCCCACCATTGGTGTCCTGGGCACCACTCTGAATAAGCTGCTTCAGTTGTGACTTGTAGCACAAAGTTCCTGTCACCCAGTTCATCGTCATCTCGGAACCAAGGGCATTGGTCCTGCCTGCTAGTTACCACTTGAATAAAAGTTGGAATGGTGCAGTGTGTTTGTGTAAATAAACTGTTGAAGTTGTGACAGTATTTTTGTTGGTAATGAGGATTATTTACATTGAAAGATCCCATCCATCCATCCATCTATGATCCTTCATGCCATAAAGTAGTACTAAATAAACTGTTGAAGTTGACAGTATTTTTGTTTTTGTAGGTAATGAGAATTATTTACATTGAAAGATCCCATCCATCCATCCATCTATGATCCTTCATTCCATAAAGTAGTACTAAATAAACTGTTGGAAGTTGACAGTATTTTTGTTTTTGTAGGTAATGAGAATTATTTACTTTGAAAGATCCCATCCATCCATCCATTTATGATCCTTCATGCCATAAAGTATGTACTGTTCCCAAAGTAAAATTTGACAGTCTGGCAGCTGCCGCTGGCATGGAAAATTCTGAGGGCTCACGCCTGTAAACTAGATGTATTGCTTTGTGAACCTCCTCCTAGTCCCTTGTGTACCTGAGAACTTAGGAGGTCAGTTTCAAGTCGAAGGGGGATAACCTATTTTTATTTACGAGGAAACTTTTGGACTTGCATATGCATTATTACCCATAGAGGCTGAACTCCATGGGACGAATATGCTGTGAAAAATCTAATTTTGCCCGGCGGCTTTTGTTCTGCGCATGGAATCGGCACAGTGGCTGCTACGTCCCGCGCAAAATGAGCATGACGTGGGGCGACATTCGTCGCATATTTCGCTCTATGGAGTTCAGCCTTAAGCTGTTGCTTTCTGGGACTGGGAGGACTAAGGTTTTTATGTTCCAGTATAATAACAATAGTTACGTTCAACAGATGTATGTTTCGAAAAGTAAACATTTTGGCAAAATTCTGCCTGGTTATGTGAGTATTAATAAAAGAAGCTGCAGGTACTCTAACCAGCTGTGTTTAAATAGCCCAACGTTTCGCGGCCTACTTGTTCACGGGTGACTTATTTGGCTGGGTGTTTGTCTTTCTCTTCTCCTTGTCGCTGCCTTTAAATCAATCTCTCCTTTTTGCGATGCCTAGAAGCCTGTGAATATAACTGCTTGGGAAGGTTCAGGTTCTTTGTATGCTGAATATGCCATGACTCTTAAAAGAGTAATTTTTTCCAGGTTCGGAAGGAACTGAAAAAATGACTTTTTATAGTTATGGCTTATTCAACATACAAAAAACAACCAGAACAGGTTGATCAATACCATCCCAAGCAGTTATATCCACGGGCTTCAGGGTGCAACAAAGCGAGGAGAATGATTTAAATGGCAGCGACAAGGAGGAGAGATATACAAATTCCTGGCCAAATAAGTCGCCCGTGAACAAAGCAGGCCACAAAACGTTGGGCTATATAAACACAGTTGGTTAGTGTACCTGCAGCTTCTTTTTTTAACTGATGTATGTTAAAAAAAATCAAAATACATATACCTTAGGCTTCACAGCACATGCCTAGGCTATTAGGTATTTAAAAGGAAAACAAGGATGAAAATACAAAAGGTGTGAAATGGCCAACTCAAGATCGAGTTTTAAAAAAATTGGATACAAATATTGCGCTTTTCCTTTTTTTAAGTATGGCTTTCCACCATTGTTAATTCAGCCTTTATTTCTCTATTGGCAAGTACTATGCAAGATACAAGTTCTCACAATGCTGCCTTTTTGATAGTGTGCAAAGGCTGAAGCGATCAAAACATTTTCCAAATTTTGTTATGCATTTTTGCACCGTTTCCTACTTCCTTGCTTAATTAGGTAATTATATTTCACTCATTTTACACACTAGTCGCCCTCAATAAAATTAACACTGACCTAAGCAGGGGAGGAAAATAAAACCGGACACCCTTCGTGCTGTGGGTTTTAGTTGGGCTAGTTGGTACATACTGTTGACAATCGGGTCATCTGAACACGGAAAAACGGGACACGAAGGAAAGGACTGGACAAACAGCGGTCCATTTGTCCAGTCATTTCCTTCGTGTCCCGTTTTGTTTGTGTTCAGCTGACCCGATTGCCAACCCTACGTGCCCGCATAATTACAAGGGAGCTTCTCCCGTAGCAGGCAAGCACTGCGGGAAAGTAGCAGGGAGAGGGGCTCCTCCGTTATTGTCCCAATCCCGCTGGTCCCCATTAAATAAAAAAAGTGCGCGTGTAGCTGCACTTCTTTTTTTTATGTTTCTTGCCTGAGTTGGTGAGTTTAGTAATTAGGAAAATCAGAAAGCTCCCATACAGCGGCCGTGCACCGCGTAGTCGGGCTTCTCTCCGGCGCGACGGGGAAAGTACGCCCAAGGGAACCATGGAACGTTTTTCTTCGTTTTAAATAATGCAGACTCGACGTAATCGCTGGTGTGGATAATGCATAAGACGCTTTTGTTTCTAACTTTATCATTCTTGCAGAATCCAAACGCTGAAAAAAGGGCACAAAAAACTGAAATTTCGTGTCGGATTTTATTTTCAGTGCATCAATCATCCGATATCGCGGTAATTGTTAAGTATACCTCGGGTGTCGAAAAAGGGGCCTCATATATTTTTCGAGCTAAAATATACATTCATATAGAACAAACGTTTTAAACTAACCAGTTAGAAAACATTTCTCGTCCGTGTTTTTAAGATAGGCCCAAATTCACCAATTATCCAGGTAATCTTTCCTTGTATATAATTTTTTGTTGTAGTTGAAAGGGTATGTTGTGGTTACCCTCCGCGCGCCCTTACCTTATTGAGACCGGAGTGGCTAACGGCTGCATATATATATATACCCATTTCTGACTCTTGTCCAACAGCCGGCTAGCTGAACAAAGCGAGATGTCCGTCGTCCCAAAATTAGTCTACTCTGTTTGACCTTACGATGGGCCGCAGCTGGATTGACTGGGATCACCCGTAGCGTACGCTACGCTCTATGTCAACAGCATGCACTCATTTCACCAAAACCAACGCGTCTAAAGAGAACTTACAACCCTTCCACGCTTTCTAGAAACGTGAAGATGACATGTATTTCAGTCAATTAAGAAATATTTGCTTATGTTATCTGCGGAAGTTGGCACAAATTCTACTATACAATGCAGCACACGTACATACATATACGTATATATATATACATATTACACAATATCACAACGCGGTGCCAGCAATGTTTTGCGGCTTATACGCGGGGCCTTGGGCTAAAGGTGCACCTCTCCGGTAAATATAATCGATTTTGCAGTATTACATAAGCTTTCGTCTGTAACAAAAATTTAAACTACGCTTGCGTCACTCATTTTTCAAAACAGGAAAATTGTCTAAATAGTTCTTCAGGGAAAAAACAGGAGTCTCCAATGAAAACAATATTTGTTGTTTGCTATAATTTGATGGAATGCATTTATATGGTTTTCACACGGCCATACACCACTTTTGGGCCGTGCCAGGGCGCCCCTAATTCCACTCCCTCGCCTCCCATTCCACCCCTTACCCTTTCTTGCGTAAAAGCAACTTATTATTATTATTATTATTTTCATTTCGATAAAACACTGGAGATTAGGTGAAGATATGCAAGGCCGTCACGAATCACACACACTAGAGCTAAAGCAGAAACCTAATACAAATGGCACTTTGAACAAGAACTCATCAACGTTTTATTATGATTATTTACTACCTGGAACGTGTTATGGGGAGTAATCACTGGCGGCCATAGCTGTGTGCGCGACTGCTGAGCGCGTGCTGACGGCGAGCTTCCACAGTTATTTTGATACGTGCACTCCGCACCATCAAGATTGCCGGTCTTATCAGCCTATTAATGTGAGCTCTTTCTGAGCATGCGCTCTAGAAATCACCCTCAAATATGGCGTCCAGTGAATACCCTATACTGCGTTCAGCGCGTGTACCGTATACGTTGCCATGCTACTTGGTGCCTGAGTAATTTGGTACGTGCTTCATCATGCATGAATTGGTACATTACAGTGTTGCAGTAAAATACGTAATGTACATAGGTACATGGCGGCGGCGGTCAGACGTATTTACAAACTACACAGCCTGTACTCAATCCCAAAAAGATCTGCAGTGCTGATCTTCGCGATCACGAGCGCGTGGTTTTGAAGTGTCTTTTACGCACGAGATTCTGCTGAGCTATGGTCACACGCGTGTGCCGTCTTCACTGCAGACATTTGTGAGACGGAGCCTCACAAATCCTCTGGACCCAAATTATTTTGAGTTTTGACAACTTTAGATTTAAATAACATGAGCTGAAGTCACTGGAGAGGCTGAACTAGCCTCATACACTTGTGGCATTTAACTTTTTGGTTCTATGTTATCTGTTCTTGCTTGTGGTATATTGTCAAAGCTAGCGTAGCTTCAATGTGTAGCAGCCCCGCACTGCTGCGAGAGCACGTGGCTTTGTCTATTGCACTTCATTTGCATGCGCTCGCACAACTATCTGTGATGGAGTTGGAGCACTGTGGAAGCTAAGCTAGCTTTGACAACGTAGCACAAAGGAGACACTGCAGTCCCGCCCTGCTAGCACTGTTGCAAGACATATATGTGGCCACGTGGCTTCGTCTTGCGTCTGATTTGCACGCGCTCTTGTGCAAAGGAGACGCCGTAGCAACACAGAGTCAGACGCTCGCGCAAGTAGCTTTGACAGCTTTGTTTGAAGGTTTGTATTTGTCCGTCCTCTTCTTTTCCCTTGCTGGCGCAGTCCGGGAACTGTCAGGGCATGGTGTGCCCCCGGGGCGGGGGGGGGCGGGAAGGCGGGGGGGGGGAGGGGGGGGGGGGGGGGGGGGAATCGGAGACCGAGTGGGCTAGCGCACACCAGCTCGGAGCACGTGGAGCAAAAGCTCGCGCTGCAGAACCGAGGGATCCTGGGTTCAATCCCCACCCCTGCCCGTTTCGATCGGGATGAGCATCGTACCGGCGTGCGGTCGTGTATCACTACTGCATGGCGCGCTTAAAGACCCCAGGCTAGCAGTCGTACTGCACGGGCTAAATTGCTTATCTACAGTGGGTTACAATGTAGCCATGTTCTGGCAGGCTAAACTCGTCCAGTATAAACAACTAACAACTAATTTGTTTGGTTTTCTGTCCCTAAGGAAGCTACGCT